GGTGAACGGAAATATAAAAAGCTTATGAGGAAGAAAGGGAGTAATAAAGTCACCATTTTAGGCTAAACATTTGTTACACTGGCGTGGCCGGACTCTCTATGTCAAGTGCATTTATTTATCATTTGTGAATTCAAAAAAGTAGTACTTACAAAATGAGTTGTCATTTATGTATACAGTTTAAGCCCAAACATCCTCTTGATGGTGACCAGAAACCATATTCATTTTTGCATGTTGGTCCAATTTGGCGGCATTGCGTCCTCTCACTTGGTGATTCCAATCACACTCTACTCCAATTCTCCAAATAATGTCATCCACTTGATGTACAACTATATATCCCTTGACCCTAGTCAATTAAATTAAACGTGATTTTTTTTTCTTTTCACCTTTCACAAATAAGTCTCATTATTATTTTCTCAACATATTAATGGAAGACCATGTTGCTATTCATATATGGAAATACAATTAAATAAAATCACTATGAACATCATGGTGTATATTGTGATGTTTTCACCCACAATATTTATTGGTGTGTGTATTTTTCACCCATAAATAGTATCAGTTAAATGTAAAGTTGCTTACATTGATATTTACTCTCTTCGTCCCAAAAAGATATACCGGTTTCATTTTTTGCACATCTCATAAAACATTTCTACCCACATCTAAAATGTCTAAAATTTACCATATTTAATTACCCTTTATTGTGGGTAGAAGTTGTTTTAAAAGTTTTTTTGACATTTGAGACAAGATAAAAATGTTTTATAGGATGCAAAAAAAATAAAATGAGTATATCTTTTTGGGACGGATGGAGTAGTTATCATCAATGAATACACGAAAGAAGTGTACATTATCTAGCACAACCCTTTATATTATTATATACACAATGTACTTTTCAAAAAACAATATGATGGTGTATGAGGTATTTGGTGTATACTACTTGCACACCGAATGTGTAATAGATCAGACATACACAGTCAACACAGACAATAATTGTATGTGCACAGATAATTATTTTCTATATGTGTTAGTAACACACTAAGTATGTAAGTAGTGTACACCAAGCTTTATTATAATGTAAATCATGAATGATTGGAAAATGTATATTTTGTCAACTTGAGTGTCAATTTGGGACACCAACATAGGTGGCTTCATTATTGATTAGGGACAGTTCTAAAATACGCCGCATTCATGTGACATTGATCACCGATGCCGATGTGATAAGATGACCTAGACTCCTATGGTAATTTTGTTTTAAATTTTGTTTATTTTATGTTAATTTTGTTTTAAATTTTGCACTAATGCCTACGGAGTAATTAAATTGAAATTTTAAAAAAGAAAATGAGTGAAACATAATAAACTAAAACGAATGTGTAGCATTGTCTTAAGAGGTGTGCTGGGTGTACCAACTAATGTATCCCAGATGTGCACCACGCTTCTCACAATATAGATATTTAGTTAGTGTCTGTGTGTTTGTGAGAAGTCTGGTGCACATTTGGTGTAGTGTACACTTAGGTTTTTCCTTGTCATAAATTGCATCCATTGAAGTATAGAAGATTGGGTGTAAAAGCTTTTGAGACTTCCAAAGCAGTGTGTCCCACAAACGAATTGTAAAAGCTTTTGAGGCATCCAACAAAAAGTTTGACTTCCTAAAGCTTTTATATCGATCGGTCTTAAATTTAATTCATAATTTGACTTCCTAAAATTCAAGAAAATTAGTTATTAAACCGTATAAAGCCTATGGCTGAAAACTGTTTTAGAATTAAAATAGTTATTAGGAGCCACATTTTCTATTTTTATAAAGAATAAAACTCCAATATTTGTCTATCAGTATGTGATTAAAGCTCAATTTATCTCCTCTAAAATGATCGATCAGTTATAAAGGACATGGGGCTAAAAAAAATATGGCTATACATATTGGGCAAGTAGGTCTTCACTTGTAGAATTACTCGTATGGGCCTGGCCCATACTTTTACATAGCACGTGGGCCGCATTGTGTCTTATACACTGTGTATGGTTGTCTCTCTCTCTCTCTCTCAATTGAGTTGGAATATGTGATAATGAGTTGGTAAACTGAACTTTTTGTTAGTCAATAGAGTCGGGTGCTCCAAAACAATGTTCAAATTTTTTCCCACTCATTATTTTTCTACAAAGGTTTTATAGACATGGTTATATATGTAAAATCCTTCTCGTAGGGTTGCGCATTAACAAGTTCAAACCGAAATTTTCACCTGAACCGGATCGAAACGAACCAGTCCTGACCAGTTTGAATTATTCAGGTCCGGTCTCCGGTCTTAACAATGTTTGAATTTCAGTTCCGGTCCGGTCTAAACTCGGAATTATCCAATCCGAACCGGAATATTTTAATATATTATTATTAATATTTAAGAATTCAACTTCTTTTTGAAGTTCTCTAAGGTTTTTAGCATGATGTGTTACTTAGTTTTAATTTTTTTACTTTAAAGATCTTGAAGTATTCAATTTTAGCCAAATTACAAATTCTTTTGATGGTAATGTTGGGGGGTAACCACACATCGATAGCATAGCGGATATAAAATTCATATATCCAATCGTTGTTACCACCCAAGATCGTCTTACGAAAACTATAAATTATTGTAAAGAAGAATACTTTTTTCTCGTAGAAAATAGATCGGACGGTGTAGGTAAAGGGATTGATGCAACGAACGTAGCCACAAAATGATCAAATCTATAGGGCTTCGACACGAACATCGAACGGTGTTCTATGAAGAATGTGTGTGTGTGTGTGTATCTATGTATGTATGTATGTATGTATGTATACATATACATACATACATACATACATACATACATACATACATACATACATACATACATACATACATACATACATACATACATACATACATACATATATATATATGTATGTATGTATCCTTCATTATTTAATAAGATCAATTATTATCAAATTGTATCGAAAAAGTAAAAGGATAATCAGAATGTTTTGTTGTAATTTGATTACTTTTCACAATCTAACTATGGGTTTGAATTATCCAAGTACATATACTAGGTATTGTCATACCAACATCAAAGACTGTCAAGAGGGAAACACCCGAATTCGCTTTATGACAACTGCATGGGGAGATAACTACATTTACCACCAATATGTTATTAAAGGCCAATTTACCTCCTCTGGTGATCATCTGACTAGTTCTGAAGGACCCTCATAGATGGGGTTCATTCTTTTTTTATCAAATGAAGTCAAACAACATTTGAATTATAGGATAATAATCTACACCATGCGTAAGAGATATAGGCCAAAAAAATATAAAAGTTATTCGGTATTTTGAGAAATAAAAAATTTTGTAATCTGAAGTAGTGACAGGTAAACCATAGAGGTTGGTCTGTGTTGGGAGAGACCGCCCTTTGATTTCCTCAAGGTTAACGTAGATGCCTCGATAGGACTTGTTGATGGTTTTGTGGGTTTGGGGTTCATTGTGCAAGATCGTGATGGCTACTTCGTTGCAGCTAAAAGCATTCGATGCAGAGGAAGTTTTGGAGTTCGCGAAGCAGAGGCTATTGCGGTGAAGGAAGCCCTAACATGGATAAAAACCAAAGGATGGATGCGAGTCATTGTGGAAACAGATTTAAAAAGGTTGCAGAGTCATTCACAGCTTCTACTTTGGATTGGTCTTATTTTAATTCTCTTATTATTGATTGTAAGCATCTTCAAACACTTTGTGGCGGAGATCTTAAATTTACTTTTGTTTCTCGCTCTTTAAATGAGGCGCACACTTGTTGGCACGCGCTACTCATTATGTTGAGAGTGTAGGCAAACGGATTGGCTTACCCCCGAACTTTATCTCCATGGTTATTTGATATATATGATCCTTCAAAAAACGGTTATAATCCGTAATATTTTAATGACCTTCTAGCATACAGTCGTACATAATAAAAATTCTAACAAAACGAAGAACTCGCATAAAAATTGCAAGCTAAATGTAAAAGAAGAGTAAAAAATCATTTTTGGGTATCAATTATCATGCAGCATGTGATGGTAGGACAATGAACACTAAGACAATTAGGTGTTTGGCACACTACTTAGTGCTTTCTCAACGTCTTTTCGTTGAAAATGGCTCTTTGGGCTAAATAAGATATTTCACTTAGGTCAATCATTTATTAGAAGTGTCCGACAATCAAGTCTTTTGAAGTTTTTTTTTTTACCAAAAAAAAAATGAAACTCTAGACCTTGGTAATTTGTTTAGTCTTGATTTTTTTACATAAAACCCCAAAAAGCCCTACTTGAACACCACATCCTTGCACACATTTTTAAAACAAATGAAGAAAACCGTTGACACAACATCCACCCAAACAACTGCTATTTGCCAAACAAGGTCAATATCTTATACTCCATCCGTTCCAATTTATAGCGCCTGTTTTGGTTTACGATGTTTGACTAAAATTATTTTCAAATCATTTTATATGACAAATGGTACAGAGTTAAAAAATAAATTACATATTAAAATACTACATCAAAAGATCTACAAAACTAGTAGTGACAATAATATTTTATTTTATCAAATTGCTAACAAAAATAGAAAAAGAAAGTGAATGAAGTTTGACCTTGTGAATAGTAAACGGGCACTATAATTTGGGACGGAGGAAATATCTCCCATAATTTAGGACCTCAAACTCAATACCTAATGATACAACTTAGAATAGTACAATTTTGCTACTTGCACACCACTTGGTGTATACCAAGTTATACACCAGTTACACAGGCCCATTGATAACATACATTGTCACAAATGCCAGTGCAAAGTTTTAGAATGGCACCCGCAATCTGGCATTTTATGTCATGAATGTGTCAATGCAAAGCCATGGTGTACAACTTTGTGCACACCAAATGGTGTACAAGTAGCACAATTATTTAGAATAAGCTAAGGCTTCACGAACAAGAAGGCAGCGACATTGAAGGAAACCAACCATTCTACAAAACAACCAGCATTCTAAAAACACTTTTGCCAAAAAAAGACCAACATAAAATAAAAATATTACAACAATTTGTATATCATGAACAGCTAAACTACAAAGAAGATCAAGAACGAGGACATCGAATTCATTTGTGCATATTCAAATGCAGTTGGGTCATACAAATGAATATTAAAAAAATTAAAAGAAATAGAAATGCAAGGAAAGCAAGTCTTTTCTCAGAGCATCAAACAAATATAGAACAAGAATTAAAAGCAATGCCAATCCAAACCAGCCAAGAAACAAGAGGCCTTACCAGATTAAGGATTAACTATACACGATCTTCTATGCTACAGAATATGCATGCTTCCCTTGAAGCTAGTGGAGAGGATAGATATTGCACAAGAGTGTTAGCTTCTAAAGCCAAAAGCAGACCACTTCTTTGATGACGACTCTTTCTTGGTCCTCTTCGAATTAGGGTCGATGAGGTTTTCAAGCGATTTGGCCTTCTTGTTCCTAGACTTGCCCGCTTCTTTTAGGAGCTCAGCCAGCCTTTTCTTCTCATCATCAAAGTCAGGATTTGCTGTACCAAGCTTCTCCTCTCTCAATTTAAGAAGATACTCCAAAATTTCAATTGCATCTTCAACCCTGCACATTCCCACAAATGAGCATATAGCATCAATACATTTTTTATTTGATGTGTGATGGATGGATTAAAAACAATCCATTAATATCTACTGGAAAGTGAATTTATCTCTGACTATATTTATTAGTGTGTGTTTGTCTTGACTGGTGACATTTCATCTACATTGTAGATGAATTGTGGTGATTTCATTAGTCATCTACGATAATATATTTTGTTTTGTTTGTAGCTAACTATCAACTAATTTTGCCGAACATGTCTATTCATTTTATCTCGCACTTATGACTTATCCTCTTCAAATTTCATTACATCTATCATCATTCGTATATCATTTCATACTTCATCTAGGATTTCATCTTTCACCTAGATGTTCACCTACTTATCCCAAAATCCATCATCCATTAACAAATTTTAGCCAATAGATGTAAATCACCAATAAATGAAGAAAACTCAATGAGTTTACCGTATTTTACTGTTTAACAGATTTGTTTAATGTCATCCATTGGATCAAAAATAATGGATGGGGAAACTAACCATCTGCAAAATAAAAATGATGGATTGGGACAGCCTGATGAATTTTGCATTTACTTTTAGACGGAGAAAATGTCATTAACCGCAAGTAGTGAGCAAGTAGAATATTTACCTCCCCATTGCATCGTAAGTTGCCGCAAGGTTACTGTACACACCAAGTGTATCTTGATGACAAGGGCCACACTCATGTTCCAAGATTCCTCTGGCTTCTTCGAACAGTTCAGCAGCCTCGTCAATTTTGAACAACTGTACAGATGACAGCCCCATCTGGTTTAACACCACTCCGAAGAAGGCCGATTTCTTCTCACCACTGGCTCTGAGTTTTGCCACTGCACTCTCGAAAGAGCTTCTTGCTTCATCATATCTTCCCAACATATAGAACATCACACCCATCCTTGCCTCTATCCCAGTTATTGTACTGTGTTGCCCCGGTTTATCCTCCAACAACTTCAAAGCCTTAGACAACAGCTTTAGTGCTTCCTCTGGTTCGTTAAACAGTTCATATATGGCAGAAATTTCTGCCATTCCGCTAGCAATATCTTCTGCAGTTGTTCCGGGCACGGGCTTTGCATATATCCTAAGGGCATTCTCGCAATATGATCGGGACTCCCTTAGCTTACCTGTCTTGTAGTACAAATCAGCAAGCCTCACAAAAACAGAGGCAACCGAGGGATGGTTATCCCCCTTTGATGATTTGAAGACAATAAGTGCCTTTTGATAGGAGAAAACAGCCTCATCAAAGCGAGACAGAGACAAATAGATGTTACCAATGCTAACATCAATGGAAGCAACCTCATTCTCTTGTCCGTTGGCAATCATTGCCATACTGGCAAGCACAAGGTGTTCCAGTGCAGATTCATAATCACCTTTTGCCTCACATATAAGAGCCATTAACCGCCGATCAGCAGCTTCTTCCAGAGATGCTGGCGGGCTGTGGACTCTATGTATTTCAAGTGTTCTTTTAGACAAAACTTCAGCCTCGTCAAATTGCATTGCCTGAACATGTGCCTCAGCCAGGTACCTGCAATATCAGACCATTTGCCACATATTAAGGACAGCCAAGAATGTAAATGCAGACAAATTATTACTTTTAAGTTTGGGTGTGCGTAATTGTGTCTTATATAGATCTCAAGACATCAGCCATGAGGAAGGCTTAATGTAATCCATTCTCGAGAAACCGAGCATGGCCCACCAAGGAAATCAATATCACATACGGAGTATGAAAGACAACAGGTTATCCACTTATCCTAAACCTAGATTCAGAATAATAAACTTTACCACCTTGCTGACAATTTGGCGGGTTTTTTTTGGAAACTAAATGGTTAAAATGTGACTGCCATGTTTTGTAATTTCATTGACCTATGAGTTTTTCAAACTTTCACTCCTAAGAGAAGGGGAATAAACTTTCCAGCCGGTTGAAGCACATATTTGGAGGGTGGATGTGGGGAGACAATATTGAATTCAAGAACAGAATCCCATTCATTGGATAGAGGAGATCACCAAGACTTCACAATTAACTGCTATTTTCACTCCAACTTCCAAGATCTTGGAGCGTGACTACCTGGACTCTTTCAGCAAAAGTGCCTCTTATATTAGAATTACTTTCATACAAATATAGGAATTCAACTTTCAGGAGAAAAAAAATGAAAAGAATACAACCCAAGATCTTCCTTATCCTTACAAAATTTGACCAAGTTTTCCACGATCATAGCATCACCAAACTCGACCATCACATTCCTCGACTCCAAACACTCTGCTCGCGGGGTGCCTCTAATTCCCAAGCTAAATGCCAGTTCTTACTTCTAGATGGAAAAACTTCTTTCTTCCACAAAATACAAAAATATTCAAATAATAATAAGGCCTATAACTAAAATTACCAAATATATGTGACCAATTTCAATTTCAGCTAGAAATTTTTATTTTTACAATTAAAAAAACATTGTTAATTTTCATTTTGATTTTGGCCTTTTCACCATTTTTTTCAAAATTTATCTGACTCAATTTTGTGAAATATAATTTAATTTAACAATTATAATTTAATGATCTCTTTATTCCTAAAAATCATCAATATCTTCAGATCAGATCAGCATATCATCTCCATTAATGCACTAGCCACTACCATAATGATATGATCATCATAAGGCATACATGATGCATGGAACCTTTATAGGATAATTTTTCTACGTTTGGGAATTAAAACTTCCAAAATAACTTTGAGACTTTTACTGCTATTTCTACAAGTTGGGTAGTACATTTCATGTTTTGAAAAAAAGTACTTGGGGTACTATTCTTCAGCTTCAGACTTTCAAATTTTAACCAATCAAACAAAGATATTACTACATAATGAGTAATGATTATGTGACACCGCACAAGATGAATACATTTATGTTGGGTCATGTGTAATTACCAAGTTAGCATATAGACTAAATATGTATCACCCATTCAAAAAATATCAAGTGAGAAGTGCAGATATTTGTGCAAACAGTGCCCTTTTGATACATCATGATTTCACTTCTTTTGAAAATGCTAACACGTTTTTCTCTTTCATTTATTTTTACTTATATTTCATTTTTTTTAACCCTTACATCTCTTGGTCTAATATACCCCCCACTTTTATTGCATTTTCCGCACAAGACTCATTTCCGAAAGTTCAATTAATAAAAAAATGCATTGTTTTGTTTTTATTAAATTTTCCATTCCCTATCTTCAGTTTGTGTGCATCATTTTGATCATTTTGATGGGTCTAGAGCAGATCCAGTAATCCCATTTTCCCAACATAGAATGTTGGTCGTTGTAATGATTTTTAAAATGTATTAAGTGGTGCATTTTAGAAACACTTGCTGCAAAAGAAGTATTAATAAGAAGCATGATCAAGTTCAAATTGATAAAAAATTATTGGTGTAACTAAAATTGCAACAACAAAACAAAAGTCAGAATAAATTGTAAAAATTAATGGATTGAGCAAAATGGAATAAGTAATGCCTTGCTAGGTGAACCTACAGGGTCACTCACATAAGCACGTTGGAAACCAAAAATTGTGTCTTGCTCTCAAACGGGCCCAATATGAGTTGGATTTTGTAAATGTCCACACTAGATGAGCCTAGAGTATGATTTTTTTATATAACCCCATCTTTTATCTTCCCATTATATTTTTACGTCACTTTCTCTAAAAGAAAAAAAAGAGTGCAAAAAACACTAGAAAATCTGAAGAAGAGGCATGGTGTTTTTTGCACTATCTTACAAGGGTAATATTTTGAATGTGTGGAGAGGCAACCAGATGAGTTCTTTAGGATTTTTCTTCATCTACCCCAGCCGATCCATAATTCCCTTTATGAGGTTTTGTTTTCAAATGTAGCATAAATGACAGGAAATACTCTAGACACTTTTTGTTTATGTGCCTAAAAGCCTTCACTCAAAAGAGGTATAGTCATCTGAATTGGGTTTGTATTAGATTTGTGCTAATGTAATTTTTTTGGGTACTTTCTTTACAGAGCCAATTCTTTCTCCCCATCCTAACACAGAAAGCAATGATGACTTTCTCGGCAGAATGTGTCCTATAATATAGTGATCACATGTAGTGATGCTAAAGGAATTAAAGAACTCAAGACATTCCTCTAAACCAAATCACATGCAAAAGATCTTGGAACACTGAAGTATTTATTGGAGAATGTAGTATCTCAATGTAAGGCACATTTCTTTCACAAAGCAAAATGTGTGCAAATTTTGCTTGGGGAAACTGAATTAGTTGAGGCAGAGCTGTATGGTGGTCCCATCGATAGAACGCTAGCCTCATTGGAGGTGACGGGTGCTGTTTAATAGGCTTAAAAGATATAGGAGACGATCTACCTCTAGTTAGTATGGTGAGTTGGTTTATGGAGTCCTCTACACTGACAGCCTGGGAAGAATGCTCTGTAAACAGGAATTTGGTATACCAATCATGGAAGCACAAATACTGAACCATTTTCTAATGCTGATTGGCTGGATCACAGTGACAGACAATCTACCACTGGATATTATGGGTTTTTGGGAGGTACCTTGGCTTATATGAAGAGCAATAAGAAACAAGATGTAGTTGCACAGTCAATTGCAGAATCTGATTATAGAGCTATGGCTCAATCCAATTGTTAAATAATAGAGATTTATAGCTAGCAAAGGGAAATAAGGATTGAAGCACATGTTCCGATGAAATTGTGGTGACAATCAAGCTGCTATTCATTTTGTTAATAATCATTTTTTCGAGAGTGGACAGAGCATATTGAAGTGCATTGCCATTTGATTTCTACATAAGATGTGAAGTCAGGAGAACAAGTAGGCAAGTAGCTAATTTATTGACCAACGGACTTGATAGAAAGGTTGACTATATTTGAAACATGTTGGGCATGATCAATATCCATGTTCCGACTTGAGAAGAGTGATATGTAATACTCTAGGTCTTATTAAGGTTATGGGCTGAGCATGTGTGTGTGTGTGCACGCACTGATGTAATGATTCAACAAAAAAATGAGACACGTGTCTTAATTGTATTTAAGGTTTTTAAAGGTGAAAACTAGCCTCGAGGCAGTTAGGCAAAATGTCTTGAGGCCTAAGCCTCGAGGCGTAACAAGGCATAAGCCTCCGCTAAACTTGAAAAAATAACAAAATAAAAACTTTTAGGTACAACAAAATGCATAATCCATAATTATGTCAAATGAGTCATAAAATCATACATGGGTTTTCATTTAAACCAAAAAAAGGGGGTAAAATGAAAAGGCAATAAGATAATCAATATTCATGATATCATTTTGAGACTACTATTTGACTCTACAAGTTTTAGACTACTCACAACACAGACTATCATCATACATTGTAAAAATTGTAATCATCATGAGACACCACTGAGTTCATACATTAACATGACAAAACAATTCTTCAACAAAAACAATCAGTCAAACATTGAGAAATATGTAATACGGAGTAATGTAAAGTCATAACAAAAGCTAGACACAATTTTTTAACCACTCTAAAATACACAATGTAATAATGTAAAGTCAAAACCAAAATTTAGACCAAAACATTATTTAACCATTACAAATACAATAATTTGTAATGGTTAAACAAATTCATTGAATTTAACTACATATAGTAGATGAAGAGAGAGATGTTGGAAAAAAACAAAAATAGACAGAAACTTTTGAAAAAGTATAAGATGAAGTAATTAGAATATAAAGTAATTTTGAGTCCTACACTCCTTGTTTACCCTCTTTTGAATCTTTAACAAGAATTTCAATCTTTTTATTGTACAGACCATGTTTATTTAAGAGGCCCAATAGCTTTTTCAAAAAAGTGCTAAAATTGGCAATAGCAATAAGGCTATATTGCCTAACCATCGCCTCAACCGCCTTTTACTGTCTCGGGAACACAAGGTGTACGCCTCACAGCTTCCACTGATGTGGATGCCTCAAAGGCAAAAAAACATCTTGCCTTACCGCCTCAAGGCGGCTCGCCTTTTTCACCTTCTAAAACCGTGAATGTATTTAATATTCGATATAAGATAACCTAACAAGAAATACAATATTCCATGTGACTTGAGATTTAAAGCTCAAAGGGTAATCTCATTATCATGGGTAAAAAATTATTTCACAAACCCAATGGCACTTATTGTGACGTTGTAATAAGACTATAAGAGTATGTTATTCTCGTTTGATCTGATTGGATTTGATCTAATTTTAATAACGTCTTGATCTAAATCAATGTACATTTAAAATTGTTTCTGATCTGGTCGGGTCTAATTCCAATAAGTAATAAGAATATATGGAAGTATTGAAGAGAACATGCTCTAAGTCTCAGGTTGCTGCTCATTCAAAGCAATCTATTCTAATTGTCTTACCCTAGCAACTACTTTTTAGCATAACATACAGCCAGCTAGAGATCCATTATTCTGACAATTAATATGATTATAAAAATCAAAAAGATATATTTCACTGTCCTATAAAAACATTAGAACTTTGATCCCTTTTTTTCTCAAAATTATGTAGCAACAAAAAAAGAAAGAAAATCAAACAGAACTAATGTACCTGCAAGTCTCTGCAACTCGGGAGTCAGTATCTCCTAAAGCATCAATCTGAACTTTTAGGCCCTCTGTGTAACACTCAATCGATCGATCCAGCTGACCGAGCATGGAATGAGTATCTCCCAGCTGCATATGCCCAGAGAAAGCAGCAAGCGCGTGATCCGCACCTTTAGAGGTATCCGGCACCCTGATGGCTCTCTCCAGCACCGGAAGAGCTTCCTCAAACCTGCCCAAGCTACAGTAAATAGCAGCCAAAACATGCAGACTCATCGCCAGGTCGAGACTGGGCTCGCCGTCTACAATGCACCTCTCAAATGATTTCGAGGCCCGGAGAGCATAATCCAAAGCCTTATTCGGGCCCTCACCGGACGCAATCGTATCCCTAGCCAGCTTCAAGAGGAATGGCCCGAGATCCGGGTTGTCCAGGGAAGATTCATACATAACCGCCTTCTCAGGAGGCGATTTCTTCTTTCCGGATCCCCGATCTGGAGACGGCTTGGCTCGGGAGGAGGACGGAGAAGGAGAGGGAGGACGCCGTTGAGCAGGCGAGCTCGATTTGGCGTTAACATGCTCGGATCTACCTGAACTGGCTCCGATCTGACTTTCACTCCCCTCCGGAACTAGAATTCTCAACGGAGGAGCTTGCGGCGGCGTTTTCAATGAAACTATGCCAGGCATTTCCTCAGCTCACAGTAACAACAAAAATCCGAAAGGAGAAATTCACCCCTTATTGCCCAAGTAAATCAATCAAAATTCTGGAAATGCTAAGCTATATTCTAGAATGCGCTTTATGAGTTCGGAAATGATGAAAAATTAAGAGAAATGATTATAGATTGGGAAACACTCCACCATTCGTCGAACAGCAGCTAAGAGCTGCGGAGTACATAGGGATGGGGGGGAATTGGGGAAAGATAGCCAGATAGGATGGAGTTGTGTTGAAGACTTGAACACGACAATGGGGTCAGTTCTAGTTGACTGATGGTAAATGTAACGGTAAGCTTGCTTATCAGTTATCTCAAAAACTTCTCAAATCAAGAATAAGGACACTCGGTATGGAAAATGCTATAGTCACAAACATATAGTTCACAAACTTCACAAACTTGCTTTTTGGGGATTTTAAATTAAAATATCTTTTATTATTTGCGTGCATCTTATCTCTAGAGAAGTGCTAAAAGGGTAAGTTTGTGAATTTTGTGAATTGTTTGTTTGTGACTCTAGCATTACTTCACTCGGTATACCCATCACGCCCGTAAGGGTTAAGAAGCGTTTCAAGCCCGAGGGCGCTAAACACCGCCCCCCTGCGGCGTGATCGGGGCAGCGTCAAACGAATGACGCTGGTCATTCCCCTCCCCCCTTAACGGCTATAATAGCCTTTGAAGACCAAAAATAAAGAAAAAAATTTTTTGTTATAAATTCAAACCCCCCTCCTCCCAATCTCTCACACCTTCTTCACTCTTCTTCAACCTTCTTCTTCCCACATTTTTAAATTTCGAAATCACCCCCTCTCTTTTTAACATGAATCCTTCCGGCTCCGGCTTCTTTCCCGACAATCCCGCACCAAGCGACGCCGTGATGTAGTATTACCAAGAGTTGGGTGATCAACCGCCGATCTACGAGACGCAACAATCAGGGTACGTCGAGCGAGATTCGGTTCTGGAGACTCAACCGGAACCGACCGGGTCGAAAGTCATGGAAACCGACCTTTCTACGTTGTCAGGTTTCCGACGAATGATCTACGAGCAAAGGATAAGAGAGATCAAAGCGAAATATAATTTACCTTAGTTTTTTTTATTAATGTATCTTTTTTTATTATTGTCACTTTTTTTTATTTAATGAATGTATTTTTTTATTATTCGTGTTTCAATATAATTAAATAATAAATTAATTACATTTTATTAATTTAATTTTAGAAGATGTATATTAAAAAATGTAAAAAAATGAAGGTTTGAAGCCATTGGGCTTCAAACCCATTTCCAGTGATTTTTGGGTGTAAGTTAAACTTGACGTGGCAGAGAGAAAAAGTTTGAAGCCCCGGGGCTTCAAACGTATTTCCAGTGCTCTAAGGGTAATCGTTTGTTTTTTAGGCCGGGATAAGGGTTGGTTCTCGACACCGCCACCCCTACCCCCCCCCCCCACACCCGTCGTTGATACTGGTTTCGATTTTAGTTCTGGGCCGGTTTTCAATATTGTTTACCCCGGAGTAAGTTTTTTCTATTTCATAATNATATGTAAAATAAGTTAATCTAAAAATATACTCTGTAGTTGTTATTTGAATAATGAAAATTGGATAGTACAACTACATTTATTATCTTGACGGTTCAAAAAAATGACAAGGTAAAGAACCATAAAGAAATCATTGAATGAGCTTATAAATCGCTCACCTAAGAAAACTAATTACAATCTAAGAAAAAAACTAAGTTATTTGTCAGAACTACCACTTCTCTCCATGCGTGCATCAATTTAATTTTGTGTGTCCATGTCCAAGTCAATCTCAATTGTAAACAAGTGTCTCAAGCGATTCAGCGCTAAGGAAACACTAGAACTCTGTTAAAATGTTGTCACTAGAATTGAACTCTTGTTCCACAACTACGATTGAAATTGGCATAGATAACACCTGCCTAGATAGTATTCCGAGTGACATATACTTGTGTTCATTCTGCTTCCACCAGTCGAGGACGTCGAACTCGCTATCATTTTCTTCATCGTAGTCGCGTGGGGTGCCTTGGTACATCAAAAGTTCATGGTGCGAACTTATTATTGTACCACCTATACTTGTGGAGGTACTCTTAGCTTTTCTAGCAAAAAGGCCATCAACTATACCTTTATAATCTTTCTTTGTCTTCAGGGCAAGAGGAGCTGTTATTTATTCCAGAGGACTACCATACTTCGACGTAGCCAAGCCATAAAAAATACAATTAAATATTGAATTTTATAGATAAACCAACTTGAATAATTTGATTTTGTATCTATTCTCAATTGAGAGGGGTCATAGAAAGAACCGGTTTGAAATCCCGATCAATTCCTTTCTCAAACCCAGCTACCGCCGCCCGAGCCCGGCCCGCGTGCCACAAATGACCAACGAAAAAGAAAAATCCTAGATAAAAATGTGAGTTTGCCAACCAACTTCTTGGAGAGACATAATTGACTGTATTTATTTCAGTAGCCACGCCTCCGACAGAATTTAAAGAACCTAAAGGGGCATGAGTCATATATTTTGCGGAACGCTGTTCCTGCCAAGGTTGTATATCTTTTTTTTAACCGATTAAGATATAACCCATTTGGTCCCCTTAGAGGCTCTAGCCACAGAGCACGCAGATCCCAAAAGCGCATAGTTTCTCCTCTAAAAATGACTTCGCCAGTGGGGGAACGCATTAGATATTTACCTAAACCCGTAGGATCTTAAGCGGCCCCCGCGTTCGCTCTAAGATGTTGGTCACTAACTAAAAAGGTAAAGGCTTGAGCTTGAGCTTGAGAAGCTTCCGGTCTCGTGGGTCCATAAAACTCACTAAGATAAGAGGTATTATTGAACCAGACAAAATAGCAAGCAGTGAAACCAAATATAGATAAAGCCCCTAAACTAAAACTTGAAATTCTTTATTTTAATAGTCAAAAAGGGTTTCTTTTTTTCATTCTACTAAATGATCATAATAATAACCATTTTCATCTAAAAAACAACTATAGTAATACTCCATGAGAATTTTTAAATTCTCAGACGTAAAGCATTGTTAACAAATAATACAAATTTTACAAATATCAGGAATATACAAGTAATAAACACACCATTTATTTCTCATAGGATACACATATGGGGGCTAAAGCTGGATCAGACATACTTTCACCAAAACATGTAGCAATTGTAATACACTCACAAAAAAATATGTTCGTCGCGAGCTTATAAACATGCGAGAAAGTTAGAGTTGCATTATTAAAAACTTCTAACATGTTTAACTTTTCAACAACAAGAAATTCATTCAAATCAATTATATGATTAAGTTCATACCTAAGAAATGAAGCAAGTTTTTCTTTATATCTCAATATTTGTGCAATTGACTTATAGGTACTATTCCATCTAATCATAATGTCCTTAGCAAATGTAATGGGTCTTTTATTCCTATATTTATAGAAAGTCTTCCATGTATAAGAACTATTACGACTACCCCAAATTAATTTTAAACCAACCTCATTGTTGGTCAAAACTCCTCTTATAGCTTGTAACCTCTGTTGAATATGTAAAAAACCTCACATAGGCATCTTTGGTGTAGAAATCCACCAATGGTGCTGTAGAAATCCACCAATGGTGCTGCTAGGGCGACAAAGTTTTTAAGTCTAAGAATGGTATCGGTGTTAATAGTAGCATTATCAAAGTCAAGTGCAAACACTTTATCAAGTAATTATATTCTTTCATAATACGCTCAAGGAAAAGAACAATATTATCACCTGTGTGAGATTCATTGAAATCACCAAAACGCAAGAACGCGTTTATACATCACTCAGTCACTATCTATCAAACGACAAGTAACACGCATGTAAGACAAGCTATGATAAATTTCACTCTAAATATTAAAACAAATAGTAACACAAGATTTAAAAAAAGTAAGAAAAAAGTTAGCCAAACAATTTTTTCAATTTTATATTGTCTAATTATTTCTCACTTTGTTAAAGAAGGAAAGGGAATATTTGAATATATTCCCATATATTTTCGTATATATTGTTTTTGGTAGTTTCCTTGTATAGGGATTTGTTTCCTTTGTTAATTAGGATTCTCAGCCTGTGAGAACATATATATATATATATATATATATATATATATATATATATATGACTTATTTGTAAATTGTAAACATAAGAAATACAAGAGAATTTCTCCCCAGTTTTAAATTCTTTCATGGTATCGGAGCCAAAACCCTAGAGGATTTCCACGGCTACTGTTCACGATCGACCGGCATCGCGTCCATCGATCTTTGTCAAGTTTTCTATCGTCCGTTGCTGCTGCCGAGTTCCGAACGGTCGACCGTCGCTATAGAACGATCGAGTACGTTGACCATCCCGTCGGCATATTTTCTGGTCATTGGTGTTGTTTGCTCAATCGTTGACCTGTGTCATCCGGTATGTCTGAAGAGTCATCCATGAAGATTATTTCCAACAAGAAAAATGAGGAAGGAGAGGAAAATGGATCTTCAACGCTGCCCAATTTTGAGGATCTAACTCTGGAGCAGTGGAATGTTGTTTGTCACGCCTTGCATTGTCCCCTACAGGCACCAATCAGAAACTTACAGGTATTCTTGTGCCACCATGTTGGATTATTGATACGGGTGCATCGAATCATATGACAGGCGATCTTTTGTTATTGTATGATGTGGTGGGTGTGACTCCATACGAAATTAGGTTACCTGAGGGAAAACAAGTAGTATATATTGAATCTGGAAAGGTTGATTTGACAATGACTATGACATTGCAGAATGTGTTGTTTGTTCCAACTTTGAACTGTCATTTGATCTCTGTCTCACAGCTGACGAGGGATTTGAACTGTGAGGCAAAGTTCACCAATGATTTGTGCATATTACAGGACCTAAGTTTGAGGACAACGATTGGTGTGGGTAGACATAAAGGAGGATTATACTATTTGAAGAAGGAGGAAAGAAGCATGGCGTGCAGTGCTACGAAGGAGAATTCCTCTGATCTTTGGCACAAGCGTCTAGGACATCCTTCTATCGCTTCTCATGCTCTCAAACTCTAGAAGAAACAAAGACAAATACAGTTTTCCAGCTCTTCGATCACGCACACAATTTATTTAGAGAGTGAGAGAGAGATAATGGACGGCGGCTATTAAGCATGCTTGTTGAGATCCGTGATGGTTGTTAGGAACACACATAGTTTATATTTAAGAGAAAGAGAGAGGAATAAGAGGCAACGATGCCATGACCTGTGGCGGTTGATCGTCAATGAAGAAGACCGGCGGTGGCACACG